CATACATGATAATTTGGCTAAAATTTGTTAGACATAGAAATAACTGAAGACAAAGAAAACATAAATTCACATGGAAACTAGTATACAGTAGTATACTCTCCAAGATCTGTTACTTAGATAATGCAGTAACTGGAAATTTCGTTTTCATTATTTAGCATAAATAGTTAATTCCCGCTCAAAATTCTAACCTACAATATTATCCAATTCATCTTATAGTATTCTATAAAGATTAGTATATGTATTATGCAATGACGATAATAACGTTTAGTTAGTGTTCGTTCGTAGACGAAAACGCGTACTTCGAACATAAGCACAAACTTCAACCCGCTGGACTAAATTGGAAAGACCCGATTTACGTGTTGTAACCCCTCAGAGGGCGCCTCAAGGAACGAGTTCTTCCTTGAAGGAATACTATTAATACATACCCAGTATTTATTTAACTTATTTACTCTCAGTCAGATATATCAGCAAAATTCAGTTCGTATCCATCTGGGTTTTCTATATGTTATTCAATACAGTACCTGGATTTTCAGTGGACAAGGTTGTAATAGTTGCACTATGCTTAATCTTTTGTGTTTTTTGAAATATTTCAGTAGTACGCATTTTTCAGAGTGAGTCCTGTCGTCGACATGTGTACTGTGTGTGGATGGCTTTAAACAGCAATATCAAATTTCGCTTTCATCAAAGTGCACGGGACTGTTTTGAGGTGACTGCAGCTTTGTTTCCATGCGTCACACTGCCATCACGAGGTTGTGATTGTAAACAATGTGGCCATTCATGCTGTAGCAACAGCCAATGAGGAAAGCCGACATTGCGGTTAAAGGTCATTGATTTTGAAGTAAATCCGTATGCAGACTACGTTCAACATCTATATGTTGCAATTACTGCCGTGTTGTTTGATTTTAGTATAGTTACAAATGAGCAATGGCGACTCTACTCTATCGGGCCTTGGTAGTCGCAGTTGTTATGCCCAGTGTGTACGCGCAACTGATAGTTATGAATGTGGTGATTGAACAGCTGATATCGGCGATCGAGAGAAAGGATATGACAGCATATGAAAGGGTAACTCCTCGGTGTTTGAACGATACGATACAGTTTGTCGTCGATTACAGATACCATGGTAACATTAAGACGTACGCTCGGCAAAGTGAGTACAGTTGACAGTATTAATAGTATAGTGTTTCTGTTGCTGTAGCATGGTGTAGTACACTTCGTAGATCGCGGTACGTCCACACAGATGTATTTACATACCCAGCTTCTGTTACGACAAATGTAGCTAAAACATACTGACGAATCTGTACGTACAATTTCATACTAGCGCCCGAGTTTGGCCAAGCGTATGTTCTGTATGATGTAAACATTTCAGTGAGTAACCATTTAGGTGGCATTGCTGTTAGTGTGTATATTTAAGCTGTGGTCTCAGTCTAATAGAGGACTCAATTACCAGTGTAGTACGCAAAGGCTCATGGGTAGACGCTTGTTTGTAAACAATGACACACTATGGTCATCTGACGCATGCGCAGATGATAACTCCCTGCTTTAAAGTCAGTTCTCGGTCTCAGGTATGATAATCACGCCCTCAACGGTTATTTAGGAGAGTAATCAGGACGAGCAGGAATTGGTGTTTCTCTAAGACTGGTCATCATATTCCCTTCATAAATTGAACACCATCTTTAACATCAAATAGGTTAATGAGTCCAGCTTTAAAGTATATGTGTAATCCCTTGTGTGTGTTTTTCAGTGTACTTTTCCAGTGGATATTTACCAGCCGATGGCGAATTTACCATGACTATTAAAGATTTTGGTGACTACGATCTTTGTCACGCCATTAAACCTGAAGTCGGCGTCAATGGATTTGGGGGATTGTATTGCTTTTCCAAAACAGATATTAAACCGCTGGTGAGATTGCAAACAATACGTTTTC